AGTCTAGTCATTAACTAAATCCTAAACCTGGTGGCAGATTGAGCTATGATTTTGGTCACAGACTGAGCCCGGAGCCAAATCACTGATAGAATCCTGACTTCAAAATGAGCTCTAACCCTGGGTCACGCAACTCTGGTCACACACTGAGCCCTTGTTTCAGACTGTGCACTGACCGAATCTGGTCAAAGGCTGAGCCTTGAATGTAGTCATAGACTGAGCCTTGATCTTAGTCACAGACTGAGGTCCAAGCCCAATTATTGACTGAGCCCTGAACTGACTCCAGCCCCAGACTCAGTTCTAAATCTGGCTTTAGGCCAAGGGCTGACCATGACCCCGATCCCATTACAGACTAAACCCCAAACCCAGCCCCACCCAAGGAAGGCTGCTAGCCTAGATTACAAAATGCCACATAAGGGCATGGATTACAAGTAGAGATCTGTTCAGGGAGAACCTGGGACTCCCATGAGTGCTGATGCCAGAATGTTCCCAGTACTCTTGTGGCTAGTGTCTCTACCACTGGTTCCACTGGCTGGCTAGTCAACCCCCAGCAGCCCAGGCTCTGGCCCCTCTAGGCCACAGCATCTAGGTTAATGCAATGAGAGTGGTTTGGTGGCATCTGTCCAGTGAACAATGTGGGCCCATGAGGCACTGAGGTTTGGCTCTGTCAGCAGAAAAGCCACAGGCTCCATAGGGCCTCTGGCTTCAGCCACTCTGAGGCTCTTGCCTTGCTGGGGTATGGGTTAGGGTTGAGGGAATCCATGGCATTTGTCCCATTATTTCTGTAAACAAAGTTTACTGTTTGTATTTAGGTAATACACAATTATTATAGAAAATACAGAAAAAAAGTATAAAGGAGAAAAACTTCACCCTATAATTTCATCTACCAAGAGATGACTATTTTGACTTCTTGGGTTGTTTCCATCTAGATTTTGTGATTTGGGCTAGGTATATATATCTATATATACATATTTTATAAAATTGGTTGGCTACTCTGTTGATGCTACAACATCCATTGAAGCCCATATCCTAGACAGGCTGCTGGAATGGGTCTCAACTGGTTAAGCCAATGAGCTATTTCCATTCCCTTAGTCACATGATTGGATCATGGATGGACTAGTGAGATATAAAGAGACTTTTGTGAAAGAAAGCTTGCTTTCTCTTCTGAGAAGTTTACCAAAAAAGATCATCTCCCCTTCATTAGATATGAATGAGGAAGTCTGTGGTACTGGTTACTGTTGGCAGCCATCTTGATATCATGTATGTAACTGGCTTGATGACCAGCTGACACTATGGAAGGCAGAATGGAGAGAAATCAGGTCTTGGGGACTTTATCAACCAGATCAAACCTGACCTGAAGCCCTCCCTGCCATTGAATTTTTTTGTTATTTGAGCCAACAGATTTTCTTTATTGTTTAAGCCAGTTAACTTGGGGCATCTGTGACTTGCAGCCCAGAGCGTCATAATTCCCAACTGATATTACTCTTTTATAGCCTAAAAATTTTTTTAATACCATAACTATGAGCATTCTCCATGTTGTTCAACACTATGCTGCATCATTTAAAACAGTTGCATGATTTTCTATCCTATGGAGGTACCATCATTTATTTAACTCATTCCCTGAGGAGACATGCTTAGGTTGTGTCTCCAGTTTTTCAGCATTGTAAACAGTATTTTTTTAAATTTATTTTAATTTATTTTTTAATATTTTGATGTTCTTTTGGAACTGCTCACAGAACTTTTTTTTTTAAAGACTTTATTTATTTATTGTCAGAGAGAATGAGAGAGAGCACAAGCGTGGGGAGCAGCAGAGGTAGAGGGAAAGGAGACTCTCCACTGAGCAAGGAGCCCGGTGCGGGGCTCCATCCCAGGACCGTTGGATCATGACCTGAACCGAAGGCAGACACTTAATTGACTGAGCCACCCAGGCATCCCCCCCCTTTTTTTTAATGCATAAAGAGATTTATTGCAAAAAATGGTTTATGCAACTGTGGAGGCTGGTAAGGCATGTCTGAAATCTGTGGGGCAGGCCAGCTGTCTGGAAACTCCTAGGCAGGAGGGGATGCTGCAGTCCACAGGTGGAATTTTCTCTTCCTCAGAGAAACTCCAGTTTTGCCTTATCTTCCACAGATCTACACCTCAAAATGTGAAAGCCAGAAGGTACAGGGAGTCCAGTGCCCAGCAACTGCTCAGCAGCTCCTCCTATGGATGCAACCCATGCCTTGGGCGCTAGAGATTGAGCCAGAGCAGGCGCCCTACAACCTTGACTGGGTAAACAGTGTTTTGATAAACTTAACCTAACAATTGGTCCCTTCTCTGATGGTTACTTTGAGCCAAATCCTGACAAGTGAAATGACTGGGTGGAAGAAATGTTTTTAGGGTTTTGATTTATTGAGTCAAATTGCCCCTCAGAAAGCTTGGATGAATTCACACTTCCATAGCAGTAAATAGAGTGTTAGACATTGCTTATCATGTCAATAGTCTGGACAAAACCAGTTATATTTACAGAGCCCTGATGTATGTACAAAGAATGGGTATTAAATAACAACTCTAAGCCCATTATTATTTTATCTTTACAATCAAGTCAATGAATGTGAGGTAGCAGGGTATAAGCAAAGGGCTCTGTGCAAACCTGACTTAATCCATTAGGCTTAGAGTCCAGGACCCATGATACTTTTAGAGGTCATGAACATGTTTTAATTTTCATTTCTTTTAAAACTGAAAGAAAAAAATAAACATATAATAATGAATCCAGCCAGGATTATATTCACTTTTTTTTTTTTAATTAAGGCCGTTGTAAAATTCCTTAGTGGAGGAAAAGGCCCAGGAAGGCAAAAATACCTAAGGGTCCATGAAAGTCATAATGCAGCTTTGGCTTGATGTTAAAAAGGATTCTGATTCCCAGTCTAGATTCAGTAGCAAAGAGCACTGTGATCAATTTGCTGTGTCTGCCTCAGGCTTAAAGAGGGAACGTGGCGTCTTTATCTAGTCATCTTTGGTTTGATGAGACGAGCACAGGGAACGTTTCAGGTTCAATTCCCAGATCACAATGTCATCGGTCTACCTTTCTGATCCTGTTTCTTAACTTGCAAAACGGAGTTCGTGGGGCTTTTATGAGGTAAGAAATGAAATAACGAAAGCTAACACTGTGCCAGGTACTGTTCTAAAGGACTTTATGTGTTTTAACCCTTTTATCCTTCCAGCCCCTACAGAGTACGTAATATCCCACATTCCGCCATAATGTGTGCCCCAGGGATTTGAAACCCAGATCGGAATTTCATCCGAAGAAATAAAAGACACAAACAAGAATTCCCAGCCTCAGTTTCCCTATCTTCAAGTCAAGTGGCTGGCCCAGAAACTCGTTGGTCCGTCCGCATCCCTCCCGCACCCCCTGCCGGCGTAAGGGGGCACTGTCTGGCCGCATCCCGCCGTAGCGTCTGCGCTCTCGGTCGGCGTGGACACTCTCGCGGCTGGGAATATAAAGGCCTAAGGGTCAGAGAAGATCCCGAACCAGAAAACATTCCGAACCCTGCGGGAAGAGAGCTGAAGGCCCCAGAGCCGGCCCTGGGGTGGAGACTGACAGCTCGGGGTGTGGTTCCCTGGGGGCGGGGCCTCGGGCGGGGCGGGGCGGGGCCAGCCGGCGGACCCAGACGTGGCGCAGTGGCCCGGCCGTTCGCCTCTAGCTCGCGGATCATCTTCGGCCCGGTCCCGATGCACCTCCCGCTGCCTCCACCGCCTCTGCTGCTGCTTCTCGCGGCACTCGCGGCCGCCGTCACTACCTTCCGGCCCGACTGGAACCGTCTGCACGGCCTGGCCCGAGCCCGGGTAGAGGTAAATGCCCTGGTCCCTAGCTCAGGGACCACTGCCCCCAATCCTCTGGCCCCTTAGCTTTGGAATCACCGCCCACTTTGGCCCCAGAACCCTCCTGACTCCCAAGTCCCCCTCAGGGCCGGGACCATCCCTCCCGCTCCCCAGCCTCAGGACGCCCCAGCACCCACCACCGTGGAAGCCCCAGACACCCGATCTTGCGGCCTGGAAACCCGAATTCCCCCCTCGTTTCCCATCCGGCTGGACAGCGAGCCCCCAGACACACTGGCCCTGTCCCCTAACTCTACTCCCGGCCTGTGACTCTTCCAAACCTGTCCTCTGGAGCCTAACTTTACATCCTCCCATCACTCCACTTTTTCCTGGACTTCCTCCCCCACCCCAGTTCCGGTTTGTGTCTCCCTTTCCGGAGGGAGGGAAGACTTTCTGGGCGCTTGCCCCACTATGCAAAAGCCAACTGCATTACCAACACTTACTCCGCAGCAGGCTTCCATCCTCCTCTGTGGGGAAATTACCCGTCAGAGTCCCTGTTTGGTTGTGTGACTTGAATCATCACAGATCCTCCCTCTCTGGGCCTTAGTTTTGTCTGACAGGAGGAGGGGGAGGAAGAAGGAGGACTAGAATATTCCCGGGGTCTGGACTCCTGCTGGGAGGTGTCTCTCCCCTCTGGGAGTGCAGGGAGGGGCCCACACATCCTCCCATGTTGCGGAAGCAACCAACCAGATGGAGGCCCAGCTCTGCATGGGGCTAGGTAGGGACCAGATGGCAGGTATCTCTAACGAGGTCTCCCAAGGCAATTCAGAGCTGTTCCCTTCTGGCCTGCCTCCACCCTGAGGTTCTAGGGGCTGAAGTCCAGGCCCAGGTGTCTACTGCCTGAGAGAAGTAGAGTAATCATTTCTTTTGGGCATTGGGAGTGAGTAAACAGTAAGGTGTGCAGGCAAGAGCCCCAAGGCTGGTAAATGCCTTTTGGGTCACTGGTCTTGCTCCTCTTTTACCTGATGTCTGTAAGCCCCAGTTTTCCTGTCTGTACAGAGTTCTCCCCTCTGTCATAAGGGAACTTCTGTTTCAAGGGTAATCCACAGCCTCACCCAACTCTGGGAGGAGGGTGAAATGGTCTTGAGGGTGTGACTGGGCAGACATGAAGGCTTCCTGACCTATCTGATTTTGTCCCCCTCCAGACCTGTGGGGGATGACAGCTGAATCGGCTGAAGGAGGTAAGTTATTTTTTTGTTTTGTTGTTTTCTTTTTTTGTTTGTTTGTTTTGTGTTTTTAAGAGATAGGGTGAGGGGGTGCAGAGGGAGAGGGAGAGAAAGAATCTTAAGCAGGCTCCACGCCTAGCACAGAGTCCGACTCAGGGCTCAATCTCACAACCCTGAGATCATGACTTGAGCCAAAATCAAGAGCCGGACGCTTAACCGACTGAGCCAGCCAGGTGCCCCTGAAGGAGGTAAGTTTGAAGAAAGGGGTCTCCAGCTGTGTCTCCACTGAGCCCCCTAGGGGATGGGTAACACAGTCCTACAGATTGGCTGGAGGGGAAGTTCCCTGGGGTGGGAGTCAAGAGTGTGTGACCTCGGCAGGCTTCAGTTTCCTGTCGGTATCTGGAGGGGGTCGGGGTCTGATTCTCTGGTTCTTCCCCAGGTGAAGGCCTTCGTCACCCAGGATATCCCTTTATAGTATCCTTTTTCTGTTGTGGGGGAGGGAGGATGGGGAGGAGGATCTGGGAGAATCTCCTTCCACTTAACTTCACAGATAGGGACGACAAATGGTTTTCATCTGACAAGTGGAATTGATTGATAGTGACTGCCCAGAGAATTCCTAGGTGGAAGGCAAGAGAAATTGACTACTGATGACCGCCACAGACACGGGAACGGAGAAGAGAGCCCTTTACTTCTCTGAACTCTAATTTCCTCACGTGTAAATGGGGGAATCCCTGCCCTACCTGGGCAAAAGAGGCAGTGCTGTTCACCTGCTGTTCATAGGTGGGAAACCCCACCAGCCTCAGGCCACCACTACACACCTTAACAACTCCAGTCACAACCTGGTAATGAAACACCTTCCAGGGGCCGACCCAGAGCTCGTCCTGCTGGGCCACCGCTACGAAGAACTGGAGGTGAGGCTTGGAAGCCGGGCGGGGGCGAGGCAGGGGGGGGGGGCGGTCGGGGCGAGGCGCATTGACCCCACCCCTCCTCTACTTCAGCGAATCCCACTCAGCGAAATGACCCGCGAGGAGATCAATGAGCTGGTGCAGGAGCTCGGCTTCTACCGCAAGGCGGCGCCCGACGAACCTGTTCCCCCTGAGTACCTACCGGCGCCGGCCAAGCCCGCCGAAGGCGCTCCGGACCGCCCTGACCTTTAGGTCCGGGGACGCCGGCCCACCTCCTCCCCCGCCTGAGCCCTGGGGACAGAATGAAGCGCCCAGCGTCCCGGGAGCACCTCCCTCGCTGAGGGCCGACGCCTCGTCCCTGAGCCGGCAGAGATGGAGTTGGGGTTTCCTCCTAACCCCTTTCTTCCCTACCCAGCTCAATTAAATCCTCTTCCGCCTTAGCCGAGACTCGACTCCTTCCTTGCTGCGGGAGGGCGGGCAATAGGAGCCCCCCCCCAGTACCCCCGAGAGGCCCGGCATCCCCAAATACCTGGCTGCTGTGGAATGGGGATGTGTGCACCCCTTGCCAAGCTGCCGTAAATTTAACAACCCCAAGAGAGGCAGAGAGGAGTCAGGGTCGTTGAAAACCAATAATTTATCAAAACGCAGCGTGTGTATGCAGGGGAGGGTGTCGCGACAGACAGGGCAGCAGTGGGCAGGCGCACAGGGAGGGGATGGTGCCTGGATGGTGGGGGGCTGCTTGCCGCAGGCGGGCCGTGCGGGCAGGGAGGCTAGACATTCTTGCCTCGCAGGCGCAGCTCGTGGCGCCGCAGGTGGTTGTAGAGCGACTGCACGTAGGTGAAGACGCACTTGGGGTCAGGCTTCTTGCCCATGATCATCATGTCCTCCACCTCCACCAGAGGGACGCAGTCCACCAGCATCCTGTAGGGAGGGGGCACGGGGTGGTTGTCAGCGCCGACCCCGCCTCCTGCGGCTACCCTCTACCTGGAGGTCTTTTCACTGCTTGCAGCCTGTTGGTCTTCCATAAACTCCAGATTCTTGATTGACTGAAGGGGTAAAAGCCTTCGGGGAAGACAGGAAACCCCAGGCCCCACTCACCGAAGCCCAGAAGCATCACTATGGGGAGCCAGGCGAGGCAGGTGGAGGTGGAGATGGGAGAGGAGCACCATGCTCCATTCCAACTCTGGGCACGGCCGCGTCTCTACCCCTAGCCCGGGGGCGGGGGGGGGAGGGGGAATCCTGCCTCCAGACTCCACCCATGTTCTCTCTGGAGGGCCACCTCCTACACACGCTCAATGGCACACTCCAGCTGGCACAAGCCTCCGGGCTGGGCCATTGGATCCAGTGGGGCCTTACCAATGGGAAATCTTTCTCTGCATTAAGGACCCGCCCCTGTAACCCTCTGTGTCCTGGATTATCTCTCAGATGCCTGGCCTGGTACCTCCTGCAGAGAGGCCCGGGAACCCCTGTCCTTGCACCAGGGGACAATCCCACTACATAAGACGGAGGACAGCGAGTGTGTGTGTATGTTGCGGGGGGGTAGTTCTTTAACCCTTACCACCTGCCTTGGCCAGAGCAGGGGAGGCAGACGAGGGTCCCAACCAAAACAGCCAGGACCATCTACAACATGCTCAAGGGTGGGACCGCCCTTCTGTCACCCTCCAGAGTGCTAGCTGTACTTTACAGATAGGGAAACTGAGTCACAGACCAGGAGTCATGTTTCAAGCCCCATAGCTTAGCAGGTGCAAGGCTGGGCCTCTTGGGACTCAAGCACCCCAGCTCTGGCTGCTGACACCTGCCTGGAGCCATCTCCTCACTCTGGAGTCAGTGGGCGGCAGCATCTGACAGCCCCAGAGCTCTAAAGTTGGAGTGTGCTCCTTGGCTCCATTTCCCCTCCTCTCCCAAAGCAAGACCTCTTCTGCCTTGCTCCCTCCCATGTCCATGTTAACTGAATTTCCTTCGGCAGGGAAGGCATAAGGGCAGGAATCGTTCCTATTGCCAACACACCAAAGGGCCCAGGACTACCTCCTCCCATCTTGCACCTTCAAGGTCAAACCTTGGGACCATGGTAGGGCTGGGGCCTACTCCCAGCTCACCTGGACTCCTTCCTGGAAGCAGCTTGGGAGGCAGGAGACCTCTGTTTCAGTCCAGGCTGTACCCCTGGTCAGCTGTGTGCGCTAGATAAAGCTCTGCCCTGTTCTGTGACTCAGTTTCTCCATCTCTATAGCAACAAGTTCTCTGCCTCATTGGAGACCTTGGGAGCACTTAGGATGAATGAGGGGGTGTCTGACTCTGTTGCTGATGTGCTATGTGCCCTTGGGATCATGTCTGCCCCAGGCTGGATTCATTTCCCTGGCTATACTATGGGGAAAGAGGCAGCCTCCCTCTGCATCTTCTTCAAGCTGTGGCTATCACCCCAGGGATCCCAGGCTCCCCAACGTGGAGCTCCCTCCTGCCTCTGGTGTCTTCCCTGGAGACCTTATAAAGCCATTGTTTACACTGGGGCTCACAGCGCAGGGCTCCAGCTGCCCCAGTGACAGGCCAAACACAGGGCAATTCGAGCAACAGCGCGGCTGAGTCACACTTTCCAACTGGATCAGGGCTGGGTTGGCCCCTCTCCTTCCAGGCCAGCCTGCTCGGCAGCAGCTCCTAAGTCCATATATGACCTGGACACAGAACCAAGCCCATCCTCCCCTCACCTGCATGGCTTCTCTGGGTATATGTGTGCACATGTGGGCTGCCCCCGACATGGCTCCAGGCCCCAAGGGGCATCTGAGTGCACGGCTAGCTCTGCCCCTGACTCACATTACTTTGGGCAATCCCCTTGCTCCCTCTGAGCCTTTGTCTTTTCTTCTCTCTACACAACAGGTGGGAAAAGTGATGGGGTAAGGAAAACAGCCGCTAAGTGGGGAGTCTGGCGTTCCGGCTTCTGGCCCTGTCTCTGACCTAAAACCTCCAGGACGCCGAGCCACCTTTCTCCTTCTCTGAGCAGCTCGTCTGGAAGGGACAGTTCGCTCAGGACCTGAATTCTCTACTGTGGCCCTGAGGTGAGGTGACTAGAGAGAAAATGCCAGAGCTGCTGTGGAGATCCAGAAACATCTTCCTGTTACACTGGCCCCACTCTTGAGCTCTCCAATGAGTGTGGCACCAACAGATCCCCAGTGCCCAAACTGGAGGCCTAGCAGATTCCTTGAGCCTCCTTCTCTCTCCCTAACTGGATACATCAGGAAGCCTGTCCAGTTTCTTATTAAGCTGCTTCAGCTATCTAGCCCATTCCTTCCCTCCCTATCCCTCATCCAGGCATTGTTCTAGAATGCTAACCAGATCACATACATCCCTTCTCTGTTTGGAAATCTTTTATGACTCTCGTCCTCAGGAGGAAGTTCAAGCTCCTGTGGCCCTTTCTCCCCTTCCTACCCAGACTAAACTTCCTTCCCTTCCCAAGTGTGCCATGCTCTCTTTCCCTCTCGACCCCAGCCCTGTGCATAGGCTCATCCCTCTGCCCGGGACTCCCTTTCCCTCCTTTATCCTGAACTTGTCATTCAGATCCCAGCTCGGTTTGCACTTTTTTCAGATAGCTGTCCTGGGCCTGCATGCCGGCTCAGGTGCCTCCTCTGGGGTCCCCTCCTGGGCTTGCTCCATCTCAGTCCTACTCATGTGGGTCATCACCGCCCCTTTAGAAGAATGGTCTTGCCTGCTAGGCCCCAAGCTACCAGAAGATCGGGCCATGTCTGGCTCCTTCCGGCTCTTCTCAGGATCCTGTTGCTTCTCCCACCCACCTCCCTGGTCTCTCTCTGTGCCCCTCTGAGCAGATTCCAGCGTACAGCACAGGTGGGCGAGGCAGCATTTCTCACCGTGGGGCCCCTGAGCAGGGGTTAGGACTTTTTGGTTTTTACCAGCCCCTTCTGGACCAGACAGCGGTAGAACTCCTGGATGTACGTGTACACGCACTTCCAGTCAGGCTCTCGAAGCCGCACCATGTCCTCTGTGTCCAGGAGCTGCGGGCAGTCCGCATGGGTCCTGGGGAGGGTAGGGGGCCGGGAAGGGGCAGGGAGGGAGGCAGGGCCCGGGAGAGGAAGAGGGGGAAGAGGCAGAGAAGAGAAAGGGGAGGAGAACAGAGAGACACACACATACACACACACACAGAGACAAGAGTTCAGTTACGTTCTCAGTGCTGCAGTCGGCCGGCCCCCCCCGCATGCCCCTTCCCCATTGTGGACGTGCCGCTCACTACCCATCACTAATGGTGTGCGATGCAGACAGGGGTGGGGGGCCAGACCAGTCACAGATGCAGAGAACTCTTGGGGCAAGCGAGAACGGGGTGTGGGGCAATGGCGTTGGCACTGAGGTTGGAGAGGAGGGCTGTGCCCCAGGGAGGGGGGGTGAGGGAGGCGTGAGAGGAGGTGGGGGAGGGGGAAGAGGAAGAAATCTGGGGGAACCAGAAAGAGAAAAGGAGAAAAGGAAAGACAGATGGAGGGTGCTGAGGGTGAGGTGAGCAGACGGGGTAACGATTCCAAAGTGGAGGGCTTGCTGATGTCCTATATAAGCCTCTGGCAACACCTATATAGGCTGGGCGGGCACGGTGCCCGGGGCCAGGAGCCTCCTTTTGGAATCTCCAGCCGGGATCCCGTGGGAGCAGGAAGCTCTGGTGATAGTGGGAGGAGAGCAGGACAGAGAAAGGGAGAGAGAGAGGGAGGAGGGGGCAGAGGGAGGATGGAGGGGATATGGACAGGGCCACCTGGTGGGCCTTGGCCGGGGCTGGTAGGCGGCCGGCGGCTCCTTCGTTCCGGCGGGCACCTGGCACGCTCAGCGGCGGGTGGGCAGGGTGGAGAGGACAGGGGCTTTCTGGGGAAGGGGGGATCTCAGCCGCTGTCTGACAGTGCAGCTGGCCAGCTCTAAGGGGCCTTGGGGCAGCTGGGCCTGGCCCAGATGCACAGCCCCAGATGCCCAGCTGACACCAGCAGGGCTGGGGCCCACACTTACTCAGCAGATGAGAAGGCCACCTCGAAGTTCTGACGCCGGTTCTGCGGGCTGAGCTGCCCATAGTCGAAGGCCTCGGGGAAGAAGTTGTGCACCAGGGCACAGAAGGCCATCCCATCACTCCAACTTGAGGAGAAGTTCTGGATGTCCACGTGCTATGTATGGGTGGTGGAAGGATTGGTCAGCTTCCCCATTAACTTCTATGCCCCCAGCGTTTGGCATTCCAGACGTAGGGCAACTGGGGTCAGAGAGGCCCTGTAGCTTTCCCAAGGCTGCACAGTGGTTGGGCAGTGGGAACACGAGCATCCTTCAGTTGAGTTTGTCAACTCCCACGTCTGCTACGTATAGGCACAGAGCAACCAGGAGGCCCAGCACCACCCAGCTAAGACCATGGTCATGCCTCCCTCACTCCTTCCCTTACTTATAGAAATTTACCCGGCTCACCCACTCCCATTTCCAA